GTTTGCCAGAATGAAAACGGCAAACAACTTGTTTTACGAAAGTGCCAGTAAAACCACCTTCAACCAACCAATCATCGCGTTAGATGAAGTAACTTTAAACAACGCACCCAAACGTTATTCAAGTTACTTTAGACATTATTTAAGCCTGAGAAATTTTTAAACAATGAATTTAACCCTGGAATTGCCAAAAAAGGTGCAAAGCACAATACGTAGTACTTGATTTCCATTAAAAAACGAAATAGAACGAACAACAATCGAAATATATATCATGTCATTTTCTGGATTATGTTGTGGTCATTTTCTGGATTATGAACAACGCGTCAAATATAACTTACCTCATACATATACACCAGAATACACGAGGAAAATTGTAAATTCACAGTTACGGGAAAATGGTTTGGGTTTGTATCAGCACCAACACTCCGAATACTGTGAATCCTATTCCACAACATTGAAGGAATAACATCAGGTGACAAATAGATCTACAATGCTTGACGGTAGCCACCTCACTGTCAACATCATTTTGCAATTGCCTCCCTAGCCATCATGGATTCTGACAGCATGGTGACAGGCTTCTCTGTTGTGAATAGTCCTCGTGGGGGCCATACCAAGCTCCTGGCCTCACCCCATCCCTTGGACAATGCTAACTTGCTATCGAAAGCCATCTTTGGGTGGGCCAACGCCCTCCTTCGGGATGGCAACCAACGCCAACTCGGCCCCGACGACATGTGGCGCCTCCAGGACTCCAACAAGGTCGCCACCTTGGCCTCCAACTACATCTCAGTGTACGCGACCCACGGCAAGAGCCTCCTCCGAACCTTCTTCACCATCTACTGGGTCAAGCTCATTGTCATTGCTGTCCTGCAGCTCTTCACGACGGCCTGTGATCTCTACGGACCCGCGTACGTCCTCCAGAAAGTGGTGCGGGCAGTGCAACAGCCAGTGTTCGACCCCACCGCCACGTCACTGCTAGTTTTGTCGCTGTATGGCATCCAAGTCGTGAGTGCGTTCGTGAAGGCGCACATGAAGTTCATGAACGATGTGATTGGCTTTCAGTTCGGGTCCAGTCTGCGCTCAATGCTTTTTCAGAAAGCCCTCAAGCTGAGCGCCAAGTCCAAGAAGGAAAAGACTGCGGGGGACATTGCCAACTTGTTCTCCTCCGACGTGGACAGTGTCATGGAGTTTGCCGTGAGCATGAACCTCCTTTGGATCGTACCTGTGCAAATTGGCGCCGTGTTGTACCTGTTGTATGTGCTCGTGGAGTGGGCCGTCTTTCTGGGTCTCGCGGTTGTGTTTGTGATCCTTGTCATTAACGGCGTAATGGCCATCATGATGGGCAAAGAGTACGATATCATATTCGAAGCCAAGGACAACCGCATGAAAGTCGTCAACGAAGTGTTTGGAGCGATCCAAATCGTGAAATTCAACGCGTGGGAGGAAAAGTTCCTCGACAAACTCATCGAGTTGCGTCTCGCCGAAGTCGTGTCCATTTGGAAGTACATGCGGTACTACTTGGTGCTCATGATGTTCATGTTCACCACCCCCGTCTTGGTCACGATCACCATCTTTGCCACGTTTACGCTGTGGATGCAGCTGTCGCTGACCGTCGAGATTATGTTTTCGACGTTGGCGTTGTTTAAGTCCCTCCAAGATGCCATGTTTGGTCTACCTCTGGTTATCATGACCACTGCGCAGTGCTTTGTGTCGGTGAAGCGCATCAATGCTGTGCTGCTCATGGACGAATTCGACCCGTCGAACGTCCAGACGCCGGCCTGTAACGCCGCACTCAAGGCCAAGTACGGCTTAGATCGCACGGTGCTGGCCATTGACCAAGGCTAGTTTGGCTGGCATACGCCGTCAGACAACACGGACAGCGCCAGTAAATCCAACAAGAATGTAGCAGAATCCAGCGCCGGTGAAGACAACGCTGCGACAGTCCTGTTTGCCGACGTCAACTTGACGATCCAGCAGGGCCAGTTTGTGGTTCTCCATGGCGCCGTGGGCCAGGGCAAGTCATCCCTATGTGCGGCCCTACTCGGAGAGATGCGCAAGCTGGCCGGAACCGTGTTTGTGGGGGGCGACGTCGCGTACTTTGCGCAGCAGTCGTGGATTCAGAACGCCACCGTTCGAGACAACATCCTCTTTGGAAAGCCCTTCGACGCAGCCAAGTACGCGAGCGTCGTGGAAGCGTGTGCGTTGACCACGGACATTGCGGCGTTGCCTGCGGGGGACCGCACGGAAATCGGACAGATAGGCATCAACTTGTCGGGGGGGCAGAAGGCGCGCATGAGTCTGGCTCGTGCGTGCTACAGCGACGCCGACATCTTTGTGCTGGACTCGCCACTGTCGGCCGTGGATGCCATCGTGCAGAACGAGATCTTCACCAAGTGCTTCCTCGGTCTGCTTCGGTACAAGACGATCCTCTTGGTCACACACAGCCTCGAGATTATCCAGTCCCCCCACGTCCATCGCACATTCCTCGTCCAAGACGGCACCGTCACCGAGTCCACGCCCACTCACAAGCGCGCCAACTCGTCCAAGCTAATTTCGTCTGTCGCCCCCTTGCGCCCCCCGACGGCCTACTGGGCGGTGGACAGCCAGGACATCGTCGATGACTTGGTCGTCACGCCGCCGCGATATGAAGACCACAAAACCCTGAAGTCCGAAGAGCACGAAACGGGAACCCTGGTGGTGGAAGAAGGGCGCGCCGCAGGTCGCGTGTCCAAGGCCGTCGTGATCGAGTACATCGGGGCGATTGGAGGCTGGTGGTCCATGATCGTCATGGTGTTGCTGATGCTGGCGGTTGAAGCCATCAAGGTCGGTAGTGACATATGGCTGTCCCACTGGTCCAACCAAAGCAAGACGCTATCTCCGGCCGACTTTCGAGCCAACACGAACCACAACATCCTGATCTACGGCATCCTCGTTATGGCCACTTGTGTGGCGACGTTGAAAGCAGATCTCGTCCGTGCTCGTGTATGCCTTGCGCGGCGCCAAGAAGCTGTTCTCGGAAATGCTGCACAGTATTCTGGAAGCCCCCATGCTATTCTTTGACGCAAACCCCATTGGTCGCGTGCTCAACCGCTTCGGCGACGACGTCCTTCAAGTGGACATGTTCATTCCGTTTGCTTTTGCACCGATCCTTATCCGAATTGCCTCCATCGGCTCCAAGATCGTCACGACCATCGCCATCACGCAGTGGATGGGACTGCTAGTGCTGCCACTCATGGCTGTGTACGGCTTCTTGGGGTCGTACTTCTTGGCGCCGTTGCGGGAAGTGAATCGCATCGAAAAGACGATGCAGTCGCCGCTGTTGTGTTTGGTCAGCGAAGGCGTCGACGGCTCCACGACCATCCGAGCGTTTGGTCCAAAGTACCTCCGTCGCTTCAACCGCATCCACGACGACCTCCTCGAAGTATTTGTGGGCGCGGGGTTCGTGGCCGCGGTGTCCAACCAGTGGTTTGCTCTGCGAGTGGAGCTGATCAGTTGCACGATCGTATTTGCCCTCTTGATGGGTGTCGTGGTCATGCACGATGCCATCAGCGCCGGCCTGATCGCCCTCGTGATTACGTACGGATTGGGCATTCCTGCCAACTTGGCTGGGCTGGTCAACGTCTGGGCGCGGATGGAGACGGCGCTGATCGCCCCCGATCGATTGTACGAGTACATCCAACTGACCAAGGAAGGCGAGCGACACACGCCGTTGGACGCCGCGTCGACGTCGTGGCCGACCCACAGACAGGTGCAGTTTGACCAAGTGAGCTACCGCTATAAGCCCACGGCCCCCCTCGTGCTGCAAGACGTGAGTTTCACAGTCAAAGGGGGCGAAAAGGTGGGCGTCGTCGGGCGCACGGGCGCGGGCAAGTCGAGCTTGATGATGTCGCTGTTCCGCATGAACGACCTCGCAGCGGGCCACATTCGCATCGACGGACTCGATATTGCCGACATGGGCCTGCACAACCTGCGCAGCCACCTGGCCATCATTCCCCAGAACCCCGTCCTATTCAAAGGCACTCTGCGCAACTACTTGGACCCGTTCGTCGAGTACGACGACGACCAGCTGTGGATCGCTCTGACCAAGGTGCAGCTGGCCGACCGCATCGGCGCCGACCCCGACATGCTGCTGGGACCTGTGGAAGAGAACGGAGAGAACTTTAGCGTGGGCGAGCGCCAGATGCTGTGCATTCCTCGGGCCCTCTTGCGCCAGGCCACGATCGTCATCCTGGACGAAGCCACGGCGGCCATCGATCACGACACCGATCAGCACCTGCAGCAGGTCGTGCGCTCCGAGTTTGCGACGTCCACGGTGCTTACTATCGCCCATCGTCTGGACACGGTGCTGGACTGCGACCGCATCCTCGTGTTTGACCAAGGGCGATTGGTCCAGAACGACACACCCGCGGCGCTTGTCAACGCAGGCACAGGCATCTTCTTTGACCTCGTCACCGAAGGCGGGTATTCGTTGGAGAAGCAGCTCTAAACACAAGCGTTATTTGTAGTTAATTGAAATGAAATTTGTTAAGGATCCATAGAGTTGCAAAATATGTATCGCCCTACATATCTACAGTATAACAGTGCATCGGTATTCGTTTATAGGTTAATAATCTTATTAATTGTACTATACCGATATATCTACTTCGAAGTAACGTTACTAAGTTAGTATGATACTACGCAGGCCTCCTTAAATTGTAGAAATCTACAAACTATAAAAACTAGCTTGTTTTGTAGACACCGCCAGCATTAGTTTGTAGACTGCTGTTGAGTGTAAAGTCCCATTGTTTTATTCATTTTGCGATCTCTAATGAAGCAGCGACATCAACAGGCGACGCTGCTTTGCCTGGAAGGTGCACTCCGGCGATAGGTGCATCATACAGCTACGGAACTCCTCGAGCTCCCACTTGAGTATCGAGAAATCCGACTCGACTGCAGTCGTGTTGGCGAGCACCGATGCCAACCGGACCCTGAAAGCGCGGAGGTTGTCGTAACCACTTGGCAGCACATCCCACGCATCGTTGGATATCGTTGTGCTGCTATGCATCTCGATGGCGGTGCAAATGTTCCTCTCCTTCCTCCTTGTACAGCTTGAATAGTTTGCGATTCTCCTCTTCGACCTTGTCGACCCTTGAGGCTGACCAGAATCTTGACACATGTCCGCGACGCACACCCAGGAGTGAAGCGATGGTGGAGATATTGTGCTGTGGTGTGGTGGTGGCGGCGGTGGAGGGTAGTGGCCGTGGGCATCGAAGCGCGCAGTATGATGGCGGTGGTGGACGGTGGAGCGCAGCCGCGAATGCGGAAGTTCACAGCTGCGCTCCACCGCCCATCGCCACACCCACTTCTATGCAGCGTTACATTATTCCATCGTCTTCGCCCACCTGCACCCTTCACCAACCATCTGAATTTTACACGTAATTATAGCATCCCCACCATCGCTGCTGCAATATTCCACCGTCCCATCACCGCCACCAGATGCACGACGACTTTTAAGGTTTTTATGTCGATAGTTGCAGCGATGTTGTTACTCAATGCTAGTATTTTCGATTGAGAATGACCAGCACTTATCGATCATGCACATGCAGAGACCTCGCTGCAGCATACAATGCTACGAGTAGTATGTACATGACGACGTCGTTGTATGGGCTGTTAAGGCAAGTCCAGGTCATCGTGTGTCTGAACATAATAGTCTCGTCGGTTCAGATTTACACCGCTTACTCTCATAAGTTCTTTGCACCAATCATGCAATACTACTACTGCGTACTATGTAGTCATGGTTAAGCATCAAGCGTACAACACACAGTTGTGCTGTCAACATGATTTCAATAACGATAAGGGATCAATAACGTTAAGGGATACGCCGTCCTCGGATGCTGCCGGTCATTCGCATTGAACTTAACGTTCGGGGAATTTCGACATTCAATTTACTGGAGTAATTTACTCGGAATATAGACAATTACCGTCTCCATCGCTAAGTGCAGTATGCACTACACCTAACGATACTAGTGTAGTACTTCTATCAGGGGTAGGAGTCTGCTCTTTACGAGGAGCAGATGCTCTTAGCGTGAAAGGTGAATTAGTTAGCAGTCAGTATGTATGTAATTTGACTTGCATCTTGTATGCCAAATTGAACTATATTTATTATATTTTCATATGCTCCTCGAAGTATTTTCAAACAATCTGATTCCAGGGTTCAGTCAGGTCTTTCTTGACCTACAGTAACGTTACTGTACCCTGGACGAAAGACCAGTACCGGTACGTACCATTGGTACTCCGGAGTACACACTAGCATTTTACCAAGAGCTCAGTAACCACCCCGAAACCCCTCGGACCCCTGCACACGTTAAGTTACCGGTATAACCCGAATCCCCGAATTTAATTTCCCTGGGTTCGGGGTGCTCTACTTGTAATCCGCAAGCGCGTCAGCTTGTCGTCAATCGCACAGCATGCCATGTGGGTTAAGCCATCGAGTTCATACAGCGTCGACATAGGAAGACTAATTCCCTGAGAGCAACAGTTGTACAGTTTCTTACGTAATCATTTCATTTTGGCGTATGACTGCTTAGTAGTAGTACTGTAGTACTTCGTAGTGTAGTACTTCGGGGTTTCGGGGTAGTACTTCGTAGTACTAGTATTTCATAGTCAAATACAGTGTAAACAAACATCACATTCCAGGTACTGTAGGTGATACCTAATCACTAGCGATGCAACTTAACCCTGGGAATAGCAACACAACGGGTCTGGGGTTCCGACGTAACAGGGCTCATGGTACTTTTATGATTACGAAAAAACTGTTTTTATTAGGGAATTACCCTCATATCAAAGTTCAATGGCAGCATGTGTGTGGCCGCAGATGACAACCTGATATCTCAATATGTTATGCAGCTGCTAGTATATGTTGGTCATGATATCCCTACTCCTGCTTACTGTATATTGGTACTAGTATGTCCCTGCTATCCGACGAACGTCCTTCAGATATTATGAACGAGCCAAGTAAAAGTACTTTCCCTCTCGGATGGGATGTGTCAATTTGGATTTTCACTTGCACCTGACCATGACATCGACGACCCAAGCCGAGGAGCTGACGGACAAGAACCTTGAGGCATACATCACGAGACTCGTGAGCGAGAAGGTGCGCTCCATTGCACACAACCATACCATACGCATGAACTGAGTTAGGGCGATGACGTCAGCCTTCCTGTTGATGCGCTTACCAACTCGTTTGGCGAGAATCTCAAGCTTATGTTGGCCGGTGGAGAGATGCGCGAGTACTTTGAAAATGCATGCAAGCTTCAAGGCCAAGATGTGGATGTCGTGCTGAAGAAACTGGTACGATGTGCACATGTTCGAGCTCGTTCTTGATTGGATACATAGGACTCCCTGCTGCCTGAAGTAAACGCCATGCACAAGGCAATCCAGCAATCTCAGCTGGAAGATGAGGAGCTGTCTGAACCACAAGGCTCCACGGCCGTCCGCCTGGACATTGTACCGACTACCCATCTTCTTGGATCAACCTGATTCAATGTATGGCCGTAGGCTAACTGGACACCGCTGCTCTTCGCCACGTACGATGGAGCTATCGACGACGTCAAGGCCATTGTAGCCCAAGAAGGCGACGCTGCCATCCACCACGCTCTCAAGGTAGGTATGGTGCTCTCAATATTGAAAATCACGGTTCAAGTAGAGCAACGGCGTGACTCCGATCTTCCTCGCCTCCAAGTACGGACACTTCGAATTGGTGACATATCTGGTGGACCACGGGGCCAAGCTTGACACTGCGGCGGCGGTACGACGATCCTTCGACCCTCGAATGAATCTTCAAACTGGACTAGGATGGGTTTACCTCGCTGCACACCAGTGCACGCAATGGACATTTGGAAGTGGTGACATATCTGGTGGACCACGGGGCCGCCGTGGACGCCATCACCAACGTGAGCATCAATCAACCTTAACGTCGGCATTTTTCAAACCAAAGCGCAGGAAGGACATACCGCTTTGCATTTGAGCGCACTGAATGGACATTTGGAAGTGGTGACACTTCTGGCCCCTCTGAGCTCAATCGACCAAGCTACGAACGTGAGTACACGTGAGGCTTTAACTCTATGATAATCGATTCTTCGACACAGGACGGATCGACGGCGTTTGTCTTGGCGGCGCTTGGAGGTCACGTGGACGTTCTCGCCTTTTTGGTAGAAAGTGGGACCAACGACCTGGCCACCATCTCAGTACACCCATCCACCCACCGTACCTGTCTTGCCTACCTATGACGTAGGATGGCCAGACTGCGTTGCATGTTGCGGCGGCGAAAGGACATTTGAGCGCGGTGAAGTTTATCCTGGGCCGCCACGAGTACGCCGCCTACGAGTCAACCGTACGCCAAGTGTGCTGTTTTTAGTGTTCCATCTCACCGCGTGTTTGCAGTGTGAAGTGTCCCCGCTGGTCGTGGCGTCCCGCAATGGACATTTGGAGGTGGTGCAATTCCTCGTCCAGGACCACGGCGCCAAGTTCTCTTCGGTACAATCGGTTCATCGACATGATCTAACCTGAGATGGTTCCTTCAGGATGGCTCTGTGACAGAGCTGGGCATTGCCGCCTACGGAGGGCATGTTGAATTGGTGCGATTCTTGATCCAAGCTGGCGCGTCCGTCGAAGCATCGACCGACGTATGTAGTGTCCATCTTGGATTGGCTATATCCGCATATTGAACGGTCAACAGGACGGCACCACACCCCTCTTCGCAGCTATCATGGCAAACAATGCCCACTACCTTGACGTGGTCGAAGTGCTGGTCTCTCTCGGCGGAGCCAACCTCCAAGCTCAGCTGACGACGGTATACACTCGATTCAGCAAAGCTGCGATGGCGTTAGCATGTGATACTGTAGACTGGAGAAACGGTGTTGCATTATGCGGCAGGTGCTGGTCGCTTGGATGCGACGAGGTTCTTGCTCGGCAAAGGGGCGGCTGTCGACACTACGGACGCTGTACGTACAGTAACACCGTCACTTTACTCGTATAACTCTGGGTGAAGTCTGGAGCCACGCCATTGTTTTTGGCAAGTCAACACGGCAAGTGGGCAGTTGTCAACGCTCTGCTAACACATGGTGCCAATGTCGATGTGGCTAACGTACGTTATATATATTTATATATATACAATATGGTGGAATATCGACGTATATTTAGGCGGAAGGCACAACCCCGTTGATTGTGGCTGCCGAGAAGGGCGATATTCTCATTGTCAAGGAGCTCCTGGGCAAAGACGCTTCCATTTCGCTCCAAAACAAGGTCGGCTGTCCTCAATATAATACTTGTAGTACATATTCGCTCATATAGAAGTATAGGCTGGAAAGACGGCTCGGGATGTCGCGCTGGCCAACAAACACGCCGCCGTGGTCACTGCGATCGACGAGAGTCAGTTGACGGTACACTGTCGTTCACTGTACGGTGTTGTTGACGCTGGGCTGTGCACAGGGGCCCAAGCTGTACCAGGCAGTTTACCGCAACGACATTGATGCCGTTCGTGCGTTGCTAGAGCGTGGCGCCGATCCCACGTGGAAGACTGTGGTGGGTCCATTGCAAGGTTGGCCTGTTTTTAATATGTTGACGCGACTGAATAGGCTGGCAAAATGCCCATCGACATTGCACGGGGCGACCCAGCCATTCTGGCGCTGCTCGAAGAACGCATTGCCGCCAACAATACCGCGAAACCCAAGGGAACCAAGGAAACTAAGCGACCCAAAGCCAAGGAGAACAAGTGCCAAATTATGTAGTCGGCCTGGCCTGGCGATACTAATGTCGTTGGATCCATAATTGACTTTGTGTGTTATGTGTTACTACGTAGTATAAAGATGAGGGCGATCGTGTCGTGTTCGTCGAAGAACCGAACAATATGAGCATCTCCACCGGAACACGGATTTTGACCCTGGATCTGAAATTCCTCCACACATATCGTACTAACGTTAACGATACTAACATTACTAGTAAGTTAGTTCAAACCCTCAAACCCCACGCTACTACGATATGTAGTGACGTTTATTCTCGTTTATCAGCTAGATAAGGAATCTTTTGCGCCTACATCGTACTAGCGTTAACGATGCTAACATTACTAGTAGTTCAAACCCTCAAACCCCACGCTACTACGATATCTATAGTAACGTTTATTCTCGTTTATCAGCTAGATAAGGAATGTTTTGCGCCTACAGCTAGCGGACTTCGCATACGTCGAACGTTAAACGTCTGAATACTGGGGGATGGTGGAGCATGCGTTAACGATCTGCTCAGTCAGCACCTTCCACCGGATGGAGCGGAGGGCCTACAGATCGGCGAGACAAGTAAGACGCTGCAGCTCTTCGGGGACATCATTGAGGTCAGCGCTGAGGACGCAAGGCAGCGACGTGATGGGATGCCCGGACAAAGGCTCAGCGACGGCAAAGGATCATTGACTTGTAGGCCGGAATGTCGACTGACCACAGGAGGATGTGTGTCAAGGAGCCCAGGCGCTAGCTGATTAGGCGGTAGCGCAGTGGCTTGGGGTGGGCAGGCCTAAAGCGCCGAATTTGAGATGTGGCGCAGGTAGTTGACGCCAATGAGAACGCTGGTGTGGGACAGTGAAAGTTCTCGATCTGCGCAAGCTCCGCTAGCGTTAAGGCCTAGGTGTCACAGCTATAGCGCAGCACGAGGAGCACGTAGCAGTTGTACAGGCGCAGGCGATTGGTCTCTTGGATGATGTCGCTGCGGAATCAAATACACCACATGTTGTGGAAAGCAACGCGGTCCAGCCATTTGTAGTGAGCTACGTAGATGGAGACGCCAAGAAGGCTGCCGAGCTTCGTGGTTTTGCACTGTCATCGTCTGCGTCGATACCGGGGTCACGAGGAGGTTGATGGAAACGCGCTTGAGCGTCGTGATTTCGGTCGTCTCCGTGTTCATGACGAGAATCCACTTGGTATTACTGCGGATGGTTCTTGATACGTTGAAGAAGTCTGATGATGTCCTGTTCAGCCTGGAGCATTTATAAACCAAACTGACGTCTAGTGACTACGTTCCTTTCGGGCAACGCCAAGGAGGTTTTCAACGCCGATGTCCAAAAGTACTCGAAGCCAATGCGAAGTGGGTTAGATCCCCCCAACGGCTCGGACGATGATGCTCCATGCCAACGCGCGGTCAAGCTGGTTGGGCAAGAACGGCCGCGTTCTTGCCCAACCGCACGCTCAACGTGAACACGGACGGCAAGACCCCGTACAAGCTGATCCATGGGGCCATGCCCAACAGTGCAAACTTGAAGGTATTTGGCTGCCTGTGCTACCGCAAGGTGGACAACACGAACAAAATCAGCAGCCAAGAGCTACGCGACCAACCACAAAGCCTACAAGCTCTACGATTTGGAAACCAAGATGGTCGTGATCGCCGTCGACGTCCGTTTCTTCGAGAACGAGTTCCCCAACTGTCACGTGCCGATCATGGAAGCCTCAACTGATGCCGTTGAAGCCGACTTTGATAGGGACGGCTTGGAAACGCACGACACCGCCGCTCGCCATGCTCCACGGGCGCCAATGAAAGCTGTCCCGGAGACTGCCCTGTACCGGAACCCAGCGTCCCCGCCAACGACAGCACCCGTGGCTCAACCCTAGTCGGATTCCGTAGCCCCAGTTCGTGCACCGCGGCGTGAAACTGTGGACGTCCAATCTATCTCCATGTGGCTCGTCCCCCGCCTCGTGAACAAGTCTTGATGGACCCCTCAGCCAAGTATCGCTGCACTCAACTCGGTGAACATGGCACGGTGACGGCTGAGTACTGTATATCACCAACACAGCAGCCGCGGCTCCTACACTCGCTCCTGCCAGCGATGACCATGGCTCCGAAGAACCCGACTACAGCCCGAGCGATCTCCCGCCGCTCGACGACGACGATGATCTCGCCGCTTTCGATTTTTGCGTCGCCGTCCATGACATCGATGACTCGATACCTTCCAGCTTCTGGGGGGCGATGAAACGCCCCGACGAGGAGAAATGGCTCGAAGCGTGCAAGGCCGAGTGGAAGAATCTTAACTACATGCAGTGCTTTCACGTCGTTCATGGGTCCCTGTCGCGGCGCCTTGCCTAGCCGTTGGAATTTCAATCGGAAACTGAACCCCGACGGCACCACGACGCACAGGCTCAACCGCTACTGTGTGTCTGTGACCCCGCCCTCCTTCAATCCTCTGGATCCGTCGGTGATTTCGTCCGTCGACTACCACAACCATAGTGTGCGATGTCCGACTCGTGTATTGGTGACAAGGAATTGTGGTAAGTAGTGACGAACTCCGTCGCCACTGCACGCACCGCCAAGCAGTCTGTCGTCGTTGCTGACGTCTGGAACCCCTTCGGCGTATTATTACGAAGCGCCTCGAACGAGCGTCTGCTCTGGGTGACCACGGCTCTGCCTCTACCATCCAAACACGAACCCAACTCGCAGCCTTCACGAATGCCGTTGCGGCCCCAAGCGATTACGCAAACCGATGGCTCCGTTCATGTTCTAAACGCCTTCACCATCCCCACCTATGCTCACCGTAATTGCGTCAACAACCCCGGTAATTCCGTTGCCAATAACACGTTTCCTGCGTGCCCTAGTCTCAAGTCGGACTCTACCCGACGTGAGAGCGCTTCATAGCAGCCCGACCTACCACAAGTACTCGCACAACTTTGCGGACATCGCCCAGTCGATGTTTCGGCTTCTCCTCAAGGATACTCCTTGAGTTTGGGATTCCGCTTGTCAGTCGGCCTTCGAAGGCCTCAAAACCATCCTTCAAATCGCCACGAACTTGGCGCTCCCGGACTTCGACAAACCTTTCTCCGTTGTCTGCGACGCCTCGCAGTTTGCAATTGGCTCCTGCCTGATGCAGCTCGCCGCCTCCGGTCGCCCTCGCCCGGTTTCCTACCAAAGCCGCGAACTTCACGCGGCTGAGCGGGCATATTCAGTTCATGACTTGGAACTTCTCTCCATGAAGGACGCCCTAACAAAGTTCCGAATCTACCTCCTCGGCGGTAAACTGGTTTACACCGATCATGCGTCCTTACGCACGGCGACCAACCCACCGCAAATTTGGCAGCGCATGGTGCGCTGGATTTCGTTCTTCTCCGAATTCACATTCTCGGTCCAGTACAAGCCCGGGAAGGACAACATCCTTGCCGACGCCCTATCTCGGCATCCTGATCTGGAACTGACCACGATCGGTCTTTTGACGTCCGGTCTTCATGATCAGATCCGCGCGGCGTACGCCTTTGACGCTGACTGCTCGTCGCGCCTGGCGGCGTTCACCGACCCCGTTTCCCCCAAACCACGCCGCGCTTCGTCGGGCTTGCAACGCTACACCCTAGCCGATGGGCGTTTGATGTTACAACCCACCGCGGACTCGCCCCCGCACATTGTTGTGCCCGTTGACGCACAGCTGCGCCTCACTCTTCTTCGGTCGTACCACGACTCCCCCAGTGGCGGCCAATTTGGCCGCGACAAAATGCACGCGGTCTTGGCGCGTTGGTACTGGTGGCCCCGCATATAAAAATCCGTCGTGCGATACGTAGCTCATTGCGACGCTTGCCAGCGCACTAAGGTCACCATAGCCTCTCGGGCCCCACTTCAACCCTGGTGTATTCCCGACGAACTTTGGTCGTCCGTCAGCATGGATTTCATGTTTGGCCCGCCGCTCGACGTCCGCGGTAACACCGGCATCGTGGTTTGTGTCGACCACGCGTCAAAATAAGTTATTGCCGTCCCCGTCCGGGACACGCTGAGCGGCGCGGACGCCGCTCGCCTCTTTTTCGACCATGTTTTCTGTCGCTTTGGCCTGCCTCGCTCCATCGTTTCGGATCGCGACCCGCGGTTCACAGCGAAGTTTTGGTCCACCCTTTTCGCCCTGTGGGACACCTCGCTCGACATGTCGACCTCGGACCACCCCGAGTCCGATGGCCAAACTGAACGCACCAACCGCGTCCTCAATTATATTCTTCGGAGCTACTCCGTCTCTACGGGCTCCTCATGGGCTGTCACGTTACAGCATGCGGTTTTCGTTTACAACGCCTCGGTTCAGGCGTCCACTGGCTTTTCGCCCCATTATGCGGTCCATCTCCAACACCCCCGCCTCCCTCCGAAGCTCGACGGTTGGGTCTCAAGTGGGGGAGGAATCACTGCGCGGCTCTCTTCTACAGGCGTGCTCCCCAACGCCCCCAGCCGTACTCTCCAAACCATCCAGAGCTTCCTTACCCGACTTTCGCCGCCGAGTTCTCCTCCACAAGTCGGCGGTACCCACCCATCCATTCCGCACCCGCGCGGTTGGGATGTCCTCCAACGCCAAGCTTCGCAGTGTCTGGCACGGCCCCTTTATCGTCCTCCGCGTGGTCAGTCTGACCAACTACAAGCTCAATCTGCCTAACTCATGGCAGATCTATCCAACATTTTATGTGGGTAAACTCAAACGGTATTTACCCCTACCGCGATCGTGGGATCGTGATGGACAACGACGGGTCGGCAATTCGCTGTGCAAGTCGGGCCAACTACAACTTGGTATTTAGAGGATTACATCAAGCAATCATTACCTCGGGTTCGCACCACATATTTACGCGGGCGGCGATCCGCGCGACAGACCGAGCGTCCAAACGCACATGCTTCTGTCGCCGCACCCCGGCGAAATGAGACAGCAAGTTGGCCAACCGCCCCGCTGCCTTGTAGTCTCCACACAAACGCTACAACGTACTGAAGCAATGTCTCATCATTGCAAATCTCGATCCGCCCCGCGTCCACAGTCCGGCGCTCCAGGCGCCCCCGTTCATACAACTCACGCATGGCGCCCTTGAACTCATCGAACCGGTGAAAACTCACCCTCTCAAGCTGCATGCCTTCCAAGGCCTGCAGCATCCATAACACCCGCAGCTCAAACGATTGGGCGCTTACAAACAAGCGCAGGTACCGCTCCGACGGCAGCATTGGCCGTCTGGTATCCCCAGTCGTCGCGAGTTTCGTCAAACTCGCCCACCACTGTCAAACGCCGCGTAATGTCGCGCACGTACCCAAAGTCCACACCACCCCAACCGGCAGGAAAACCCTAACTCTCGCTCAAACACTTCGTCTCGAGCGAGGCCGGCCCACCAGCTTCGCATTTCACTTTGGCTTCCGTCTTCACGACGGTTCCCTTGACGCTCGCATTTCCTTCCTTTCTCCCGACACCTGCAGCGTCAAGATGTCCCCCATCGCCAGATGGTGCCCCAGTCACATCCCCGCTGGCCGCCTTAGTAGCTGCGGCCGCTGCAATCGCTTTGGCCTCTACGGCGCGCTTTGCCTTTGCTTTTGCCTCTTCGGGTGCTCTTGCCTTCTCGGCGGCCTCCTCCCGTGCCAAGTGCTGCTCCAGCAGCTTCTGCACACCTTCGGCGCCCACTGTAGGCATGGCGCTCTTCACCAAATCCGCAGCCGCTTGCTGCTCCAGCTGCCCAAGCCGTTCGCGCTGCAAGCCCCCCTTGGCCTCCCAGTCGGCCGCATCCTCGGTCGGCGCCACTCCGTTGTCGTCATCCGACTCTGCTGTGAGGTCCACTACCTCCACTTGTGGCGCCGGCGATTCGGTCTCTTCCACGCTGTCGTCGACATCCTCGGCGATTACGCTCGCCTTGCGCTTCTTGCCTTCGTCTGCCATCTCCAATCTCAACTGTCACGTCGTCACAGTTCCTTCATTTCTGACCACGTGATGATGACACGTTCTGTCTTAAGTAAGGTAGGGTGTAACCGTGCCCATCATCCGGTTCTCAACCGGATGACTAGTCCACACCTCTTCAGTCTAAGGTGTCCTTTCAACCCATAAAATTATGCCATAAACCATTTTGGTAAGTCTGCAAAAAATTCCCAAAGTCTTATATCCCATGAAGAAAAGAGGAAACGAAGAATCTCCACAGTTGTCTGGATGCCAGTTGAATTATGGAAAAATAGTTCGATTGCCGATTGAAGTGCAAGACTTCAACGTGAACACAAACCTTCATAAAAAAGTCGGACCAAATCGGTGCATATTTTTATGCCATAAAACACCCGGTTCTCAAGAAAATGGCATAAACTAAGTCTTAGCATAATTGAAAATTTCTACCGGAGCCTTTCCAACTTTCAGTGGACCCCACAGCACATGCACTGATTCCCATCTTAAAAATACCCAATCCCATTCTACTGCAGATAGGAGAGTTTTGAAAACGCATACTACAAACTGTTCTGCATGGTGCTGCAGAAAGATCTATCAGCCTTTTAGAGAACGGCTCATGGTCTCATGATCGGTAAGGCCGTTAGTCTCCATTATGTGCAGCAGGCCGCCATTCGTCGTGCAGTTGTACGCCATTGTCGTGCGGTTCAAAAATGTGCATTATTGGTGCATTTTCATTGGACAAAATGATTAGACTTAAAATAAACCAGAAAAAGTAATTCGTAGTAAGAGACCTCAGTTTGCAATTTAATTCGGCCTCCGCAAGAGGTTCTGTCCGGATAACGACGGGAGCGAAAACAAAGAATTCTTTAGCCTCATCGCCCGAAGTAATGATTGACTCTGACCACCAACGCTCGCAGTCCCCTGTTAACGGGACGGAGCGATCCTGATCCCGAGAAGCCGAACGCGGCCAACCCTTGCGCCGTCAAGCCACTACCCCGTTCGCCTCTCCACGCTGGCGTAATCCACCAGCTGTTGACCAGCGGTTTCAATCAGATACCCCATTTACGGCGCCCACACCGACTCCCGTGATCCCTGTCAGCGCGTGCATGGACGTCTTTACCAAGAAGCGCGTGGCGATGTGGGACATGGCCAACTGCGACTACCGTGGCGTTACGGAGACGGGGTGGGCCACATGGTTTAGTAATGCGTTTGAAGAGGAGCCTCAAGACCGGGATGTGCTTACGAAGCGTTTGACCACGGCGATCCGGTTCGACACGACAATCCTGGACGCCAACTCGCGCATTGGCAAGATGCTTGACAACCTGATGCGAGCCTTGGAGCGCGACGACCAAGCGTGGGTCTTGGACCAAGAAGGCACGACAGTTGTCCACATCATGGTCAAGGCGATCAAGCCGCTTGGCCTGCCAACGCCAGCTGGCCCTCCAACGTGTACCGTTTCGTTGACTGGCTGCATGTGCATACCGCCGAGTACCCCACTTGTATGCCCTGGTGTTGCGAATTTGCCAATCGCAGAACCCCTGAACCCCTCCCAAGAAGGTATCCAAGTGCTCGATTAGGTTGGATATCCTGTGTGTGATCCTATTAGCTAGTTATACTATTGGCTGCCCAGCAGCTGTCTGATTAGGTTAGGGTTAAGTGGGGGGGATTTCTCTTTGTGATTTGCCTTTGGATCGGACTTCGCAAGAAGTTGATACGCAACACCCGGTGGAAGACGAGAAGACTTTGGCACCGCCTGCGACGGCAGCCGCAGCACCATCGCGGCCATCCAAGCCTGGCTGCAGCAGTGGACCTCCCCGGTGCAAGATAGCCCGAAGTACGAGCGAAAGAAGGCGACCTGCCTCAAGTGCGGCAGCGAGAACAACAAGGTGGTAAACTGCCCCAATTCCGCGCCTGGCGAATCCGAGCGCCTGCTCAAGGAGCAAATGGACAAGTGTGGGAGAGCGCGCAACAAGAAGGTGACCAAGCTTCAAAGCAGCGCGAACAAGTCCCTCGGCCGCGAAGCCAAGATCGAGGGCATCGTGTCCGTCACGACGACCCTCCTCGACACCGGCTCCGACGTTACCTTGTTGACAACCGGTGTCAGGACTGGGCTGGCGTGGAAGTCAATGTGATTTCGCCGGAGCCATCCGTGATCCAGCCGTATGGCCTAGCACCTGCCCTCAAGGTCGACCGCCAAGTGCAGTTCAAGTTGGTCACCCTGGACGCCCCCTGTGGATCTTTGGCCCTGCGTGTACTCAAGGCCTGGGTGGACTCTTCCTCCAACGCAGCAGAACTCCTGATCAGCCGGGCTGTGATGGAAGGGCTGGGCTTCTCTGAAGACGAGTTTTTCAGCGACGCTTTTGCCAAGCAAGAAGCCTGGGATGTCAGCGACGTGGACAAGCCGTCTGCGATGGCAAGTGTCAGCCGCCTGACTCAAGTAGCCGCCCCAAGTGACGAGTGCGGTGATGACGGCATGCACTGTGCCACCCCCAACATCCAAGTCCCATCTGCTGAAGACGCCGAAGGCGAGCGGATCAGGCGGCGAGCGGTGGTTGAAGTGGTGATTCAAGCCAAGCTCCATGCCGCCAAAGACGAAGGCTTGACCGTGGACCTCCTCGAGAAGCTGCGACTCCTCCTGGTCAAGCACTGCGATGTGTTCCGCCTCGAGATCGGCCACGACGAGCCGATCAAGATAGACCGCTCCGGGTGCGCATCAAGCTTGGCGGCGTCCCTACCAAGTGTGGCCTGCGACGATACCCCCTAGCGCATGAGAAGTTCCTGAAGACACATGTGCGCGAGCTTGAAGCAGCTGGCCTGTTGTACCGAAACAACCGCGCAACATGGGCCCCGGCGCCGCCTTCGTCCCCAAGAAAGCCCCTGGCGACTTGCGCATGACCCCAGCAACACAAGCGACGCCGCGGCGACCACCAACGACCTCCTCGACTGGTTCACGACCTTTGGGTATGTCCATTCCTGGGTCTCCGACAGCGGCTCCCACTTCAAGAACGAAGTCATCGACAAGATCCGCAAGGCTGCCGGCGCCCACCGCCACTTCACGACCGCCTTCTGTCCTTGGGCGAATGGAACGGTTGAAGTAGTCAACCGACGGATCCTCCGCGCTGTCAAGACGCTTACCAGCGAGTTGAAGCTGCGCGCGACCGACTGGCAACTTGACCTGGTCCTGGTACAAGGCGCATTGAACCACATGCCCAGCGACACTTAGCGGCATATGCCCGGGTGACCGCCTTTATTGGCCTGCCTGCGACGACGCCCCTGCCTGCGTTTGTGAACACCATGGCCAAGGACATCGCCGACATCGACTTGCTCTACTCCACGCGCAAAAAGCACATGGACGAGCTTCACGAAGCGATGGAACAGCTCTACCGCGAAGTGGCTGCGACAAGCGACAAGAAGCGACGTCAAGCCCGCGACCGCCAAGCCAAGCCCAAGGCCGTCCAGTTGCAGCAGTTTGCAATCGGCAACGTTGTCCTCGTTGGTCAAGTGTCCCGCCAAGGAAACAAGTAGTCGCTGCACTGGCGTGACCCAAGCAAGATCGTCCGGATCGTGACAGACAAAGTCATGGAAACCCAGAAGTTGGTTTCCATGACTTTGTCTGCAGCCTTGCGACTTGTACCTCAACCACGCTTGCCGACTCAAGATGTATTGCGAAGACAGCTGCGATGTGACCGAAGAGCTGGTCGACCATATTGCCTTTGACAACGAAGGGTTCCGCGTGGCCAAACTCGGTGATGTCCGTGAATAAAGCGGCGAATACCAAGCCCTCGTCTACTGGCTTGGCCTCAATAAAGATGAAGCCTCATTGGAGCCCGTGCGCTCCCTCTATGAAGACATCCCCCTCGTTTTCCGCCAAGTGAAAAAAATGGCCGCAGAACTCGAGATAACCCTCGGACACTCCCTTTAGGGGTAAGTGTTCTGCATGGCGCTGTAGAAATACCTATGAGCCTTTTTAGAGGTCGGCTCATGGTCTAATGATCGGTAAGGCCGATAGTCTCCATTATGTGCAGCAAGCCGCCATACGTCGTGCGGTTGCACGCCATTGTCGTGTAGTCGAGGAGACCTAATTAACAATATGTAAATTGCAAACTGAGGTCTCTTACTATGAGGCCGAATTAACATTACTGTATGTAAATTTAGACTGAGGTCTCTTACTACGAATTGTCTATTTTAAGTCTAATCATTTCGTTTAATGAAAATGCCACAACAATGAACCTCTTTCAACGCCGAAGGCGTCACCACCGCTCAAACGGATTTTGCTGTTGTGAAATGGCACGTGTTGACTAAAGTATACCTTAGTCCAGCCAACGACCTTGTTTTGGCATTGGTACACTTGTTCAAAGGTGGGGCGAGGTTCAACCTACCTATGACAAGTACAGTACATAGTTAGGATGCCGTCTTGACTTGTTTGTACGACTGGCAAAGTCGCAAGACAAATGGTCTCATATACAGCTCGGTGGTGGAAAGAGGAGCACAAATAGTCAAGAATAAACTGAAAATCCAAGGACGAAGTTTTGACAACGCTTAAAATCTACAGATAACGTTTGAGGTAGACCTAAAGCGCCTTGGGGCGGAAATCAGCGGTTTGGCACGACAAGTTGTCCCCGGGAGCCACCCCCAAGAGCTCGCAGAACTTCTTGAAACTGGCAATGCGGCTCTTTTCCGAGTCACGGTTGGGAGGGTTCACACCGCATTCCAAGCCACCGTTGATGATGTGAGTGGCCTTGGCAAAGCCACCGGGGAGACCCACCACCTTGTGGATGTTGCCGTTCCACCTTTCATCGTTCCAGTACCACAACGCACTCCACCACACCAAGTCGAAATCTGTGGCGACCAGCTCAGGGCTCGCGACCAAGTCCAAGTTGACGGCCTTGCCAAAGTCCTTGTAGTTGTAGTTCCACGACAACTGGATCGGGCCACGACCAAAGTACTGCTTGCCAGCCGCACACGGGTACTTGGGTGACTGCTGGCACATGGTGGACTTGTTGATCTCCTCAACGTAGCGAAGATCGCCAGACTCGAGC